GTTCTGTTAAGAATGCGTAAAGGGAGGGAGGGACATTTAGTAAACCACTGTCTATGTCTGTCACAGACTCCCAAAACATGAACTAGCTCAAAAGGAGCTGCTTTGGTTGGAGCAGGGCCCTGCCCACTCTAGCTCCTTCTCCACCTTGACTGATGGCCCCTAAACTGTCTTTATGGGACTCTGGGGTGCCTGGGAACCCAGTTTGGAAACCATTGCTCTAGGCCAGAGATCAGCAAGCTTTTTCTGTAAAGAGACAGATAATAAATATTTTAGACTTTGAGGAGCACATAAGGTTTTTGTTGTACATTCTTCTTCATAGTGCTCATTTTTTTAACCCTTTAAAAATAGAAGAACACTTCTCAACTTAAGGGGCCACACAGAAACGGGCCATAGGCCCGATTTGGCCCGAGGGCCACATGTCCTCCAGCACATGCTCTGCGGGATCCTGGGGCACAGAGTTCTCGGCACCGGGTTGAGGTCAGGCAGCAGAGCAGAGCCCCAGCTGGGCAGCAGCTGTGGGAATGTGGTCATCGGACAAAACAGCCAGTCTAGACCTCATGGGGCTTCAGCTTCCCCTCAAATGCCTGTGAGCTGTTGGGTCCTCTGTAGCCCCCCCAAGACACTGGGCACAGGCTGGCGAGACCGGGACCCCTGTCCTTTGGCTGGTCCTGGACTGTGTCCAGGAAGGACAGAGTGTCCTCTGGGACCAAGGCCGGGCATCCTCTGTGGTCCCACCCACCGTGGTTCTCAGGAACGGTAGCTGTGTGCTGAGGGGTGCCCTCCCTACCTCCCACCCTCTGCAGTGAACCCAGATTCAGGCTCCCCTAAGCCCTCCTCTCACTCTGGACCCCGTACCTGCTGCTGGCAGATCTCTCTGCCTCCAGCCCTTCCTTCGTGCAGAGTTACAGCTTCCCACTTCTTCACATCAAGTCCACGGTGCCTGTCCCGGCCTGCCAGGTGAAACCACCTTCGGACGCAGCCGGGCGGCTCTTCCTCCCCTCCCGCCCCTGCCTCCGCTGCCTGCCCTGCTCCTCGTCCCTCGGTTCCCGCTCACAGCACCTCCTGAACAGAGCCCACACCCTTCCCTACCCTGCAAGGCCCGGAGTGCCCCTCCTCCCCTGACCACCTTCCATTTCTCCCTTCTTTGCGATCCCCCAGCACTCACCATCTGCACCACGCCCTGGGCACTTATTATTGTCATAGCATAGGGGGAGCAGCAAGCTCAGTGCTTGGCACATAGCAGCTGCTCACTAACACATCCTAGATGCTGGATTCATTTACTCATTTATCTAACGGGTGTGAAGTGCGTGTCTGAGCCGTGTACAAATGTACCTCTTTGATCACGCCTGTTTCATGTGCTGCCACTCTCCTGCCTCCGAAAGGCGTTTTATAAGCTTAATTGATCTGCATATTAATTAAATATTATAGGATCCTGTCTTTCAACAAAGGCCAAGGGTGGGGGGGATGGAAGCGCCCATACACGGTGCACAGGGACCCATCCCAGAGCTGCAGTGCCGCGTGCACCGTGCTGGCCGCTCAGTGTCGTCAGCTGCTCTGTCAGGGGCAGAGGCTCCAAACTGCAGTTCACATCGACGGCTGCTCTAACCAGCAACGTGAGTCATTTCATAGCTCCGGGTTCTCACTTTCATAGCGACGGTTTCCCATGAGAGACCAACTCATCCTATGCTCCCCTGTTTGGAGGCAGCATGGTGAGCCGGTGCCTTCTGCCCTGGGGTTGGCCGGAAGTGGGTGATGGTGGCAAGAAAGTGCAGCCTGGACCCTCAGTCCCTGCGGAGGCCGGGCCCCTCCTCCTGCAGAACGCACTGCTGGCCTCAAGGGGTTCCATGTGCAGCCAGGCTTTGCTGAGCTGCTGGGGTCCAGGCAGAAAGAGGGCTTTGGGAAGGTTGGAGGGGATAAGTCATGCTCCCTACCTCGTGGGCCAAGACCTCGCAGGGACCCTGTGAGGCAGTAGAGCAGAGTGGCAAGGAGCCCAGCCCCTGGCTACCTGGGGAGACCCAGGGTCCGCCACTCAGCTCTGGGACCTTCGGCACGTTGCCAAAGGCCTCCTGAGCCTAAGTGCCTCCCAGGTGTGAAATGGAGGTATTCATAGTAGCTTCAGCAATGTCTGCTATCTGGCCCGTTACAACAACAGTTTGCGGAACTTTGTTGTAGATGGTAACTCCCGAGGGGTCCAAGAACCTAGCACTCAGTCCATGCTGGGGAACCAGGAAAGCGTTCTCCCACTCAGCACTGTCTGAGCCCCTGGCATTTGCCCGGCATGCCAATGGGCACTGGCAGAGACAGTGGGACATGGCCCCTGCCCTCCGGGAAGTTCATGGTATAGTGGAGGACCAGGTAAACAGACCAGTCCCAGCACAGCAGGTAAGTGCTGCCCCAGAGGAGATAGGAAGTGTCCTCAGGGAGCACGCGGAGAACACAGGGCTCAAGGATGAGGAGGTGTTGTGGGGACAGGGGCAGAAGGACAGAGAGGACCCGACGTAAGGAGTGCCCAGGAGGCTGTTTGGTGAGGAGGACAGCAGGGAGCAGGTGCCGACACCAGGCTGCTCCTTGGGCGTTAGGCTAGGAAATGGTGATGTCGTTCTGCAGGGCAGGATGGGAGGGTGAGAGGTGAGAAGGAGATTCCAGCCCGAGCATGTGATCTCACGGTGAGGACATTGGCCACCAGGGCACACGGGGGGCACGTTGGCCAGCTCAGGGGGGAAGCCAGGAGGGCCGCAGCATCCCCACTCACTGTGGACAGATGCACTCCATCCCCTTTCCAACTACCCCAGCTGCTGCCTGCTACAGGCTCACCCCTCGCCCACAGTATTGCTGTGGCCCTGGGACCAGCCTCCTGGTTTCCCAACACCCCTCCATGCTGTTGCTCCGGAAACAAGTGTCCCATCGCACCCTTACCTACAACTCCTCATGACTCTCCCTGGTCTTTAGGGCAAAGCCCAAGCCCTTATCTTGACAGACGGCCCTTCTTCATCTGGCTCCTCCTGCTTCTCTCGAGTCACCCAACCCCCGCCCCTCCGTTAAACAATTCCAGAGCAGCTAAGAGTCTGGATAAGTCCAGCATCCAGGCCTTTGCTGGTCACCTGCACCTAGCCCCGCCTGGATGCTTTCCTTTCCCAAACTCACCTCCCAAACAGCCTGGGTTTCCTTTCCGCCAGGAGGCGAGCCCTAGTCTTCCTCCCAGCCAGTGCCCTCACCTCCTTGGTCCTATCTGTCCGTGCTCGGGGACGTTCTTAGACAGAAACGCTTCTCTCCGCGAGTCCCATGCCAGTGCGAGGCCCCCGCACAAATGGCACCTGGGCTCACAAAGGAGTGCAGTGCCTGTTTGCTTCGGGGGCACCTGGAGGCACCTTGGGGTGAGGCTCTGCTGGCACCCTGGCAGCATGTGGGTGCTGGGCTGTTTGGCTGGGACAGAGGAAACCTGCACGACTAGGAAGAACTGTCCACAGGCATTCTCTGCTCCTTGGCTCATGGGACAGAGAACAAAGGGGCACCTTCAGCCTCCCCACCGGGAGAGTGAAGGTCTTCATCAGAGTGAAGCCATATTGCCACGGACAGAAAGAGACCCAGCTTCGACATTAGGAGGGGTGGCCTGACTTCGTGAGTGACACCCCCACCATTGTATCCAGGTGCCCGAACAAGAAACCTGCAAGTCACCCTAAATCCCTCCCTCTCCCTCAGCCCCCACGCGCATCCAGTCACTGCTCCCTTGCTGCTGCTGGGGCCCACGTCTCTGTCCGGGCCCCGTTCTCCTCCCCCATTGCTCACCCCGCCCAGCACAGACGCTACCACCATCCCCACCATCTCTGGCCTCCCCCCACCACGTCGGTCTCCACACCAGACTGACGCTTTCTCAAACAACTCTATGTCCCCATCACCCCCTCTTCAGACCTCTCCTGCCGCTCCTCCCTCAGAGTGGACCGCGTCTGCTCAGGGCGTAGGAGGCTGCCAGACCTTGTGGACCTAGCCCCAAGCAAACTCTTCCAGTTCCGGCCCCTCTTGAGTCACCCCCTTGCCACGAAGGCTTGACTACATTGCCCCCCCCCCCCAAGTGAGGCAGCTACAGTTGCACTCAGTGTGTGGACCTGCTGTTGACAGACACTGAACTCTTGTTCTGGAACGTTCCTTGTCTGTCACAGCTCAGGCTTTGTGCACCTGACTCCTGAGAACATACCCCTCCCTCTCCCAGCATCCCCTGTCGGCCTGCCGGTCTTCCGGAGCCTTCCAAGTCCCCAGACCCCCGCCATCACAAAGACCCTCCTCCTGCTACCACCGCAGGGCAGTGAGAGCCACAGTCCCCCAGCCCTCACTGCTGTGTCCCTCACCCCGTGTCAGGGTCATCGGTGTGCTTCTCTGTCTCCGCTGCTCGCCGAGGGCAAGGACCATGCTGGAACCCCATCTCCTAGCCGGGCGCAGGGTGAGCACTTAGTCAATATTTGTGGAAGGCAGAACTAAAGCAAGTTAAGAGAGAGGAATCTTGTCGAAATCTCCTTCCTGGAACATTCATTTATTCAACAAATAAGCAAACAGAGAGGAGGGAGGAAAGCAGGCAGAGGAGACTGAGAGAGACGTCTGCAGGTCCCGGGGGGCCAGATAGCTGAGATTCCGCACGAGGCCTGAAAAATTGCCACTAGACCCGTGGGGATTTCTATGCACTGGAGCATGAAGAAGGAGTCTAATCATCTCAGAGCCGGCCAGATGTGCCTGGTGTTGCCATGACAGCCCCCGGAATTGGGCAGATGTGCCACGAACGTCTTTGGAAAACATCAGGGCACCCCCGAGACTGTATGGCCTGGAGGGAAATAGTTTGCACTCAAAAAGCTTCCACGGAGATGCTCAGTTTGGATTCAGGGTCGTGTAGCTCGGTGTCTCAGGGACTCTGGGCGTCGGGATAGAACAAGGGAACTTCCTCTTCTCCTCCAGGCTCTGGAAGTCTCTCCCACTGCCCCTGCCTGCTCCCTAATCCAGTGCTCCCTCCCTAGGTGATCAAGCTCGCCTTCGAGGAGTTTGACCTGGAGAGGGGCTACGACACCCTGACGGTCGGGGATGGCGGGCAGGACGGGGACCAGAAAACGGTCCTCTACGTGTAAGTGAAGCGGAGCGTCCGGTTGGGTGGGCAGGAGCCCCTGACCCTTGGCTGAGGGTGGCGGGTGGACTTGCCAGGCCCTGCCTGGCCCCCCAGACCAGGACGGGTGTCCGGGAGTGCTCCACGTTCCAGCAGCAGTGGCCCCTCTGCTTCCTTCTGCTCCACACGAGGGGGAACCTTGGCCCTGAGCCGAACTCTCACGAGGAGTTCGCAGGAAAGGCACACAGAGGAGCAGCAGGGAATATAGAGCAGGGAAGTAGAGGTTCCGTGTGGCCTCTGCTTGTACGCAGACCCTCCTTCTGCCACCCACCCATTCTTCCTCCGGGCCAGGTACATCCGTGGCAGACAGATGACAAAAGTGCTTTGCCAACCTCTCTGCACATTCTTAACTACCTGGGAAATGGGCGGCTGCAGAGCATTAGGTAGGACCACGTGAACTTAGTGGCCAGAAAGGCCAGCATGACGTGGTCTGGTCAAGGGGGAGGATAATGGGAGGCTGTTCTGGGGTTCCACGGCACTGGGTCCAGGGCCATGCAGCTTCTCCTTGGCCCGCCACCATTAGCCTGACGAGAAGCAGGAAAATGTTCGTGTCTGATGCACGTGGCCCAGCTTCAGGCCTGACAGAGAGGGAGGCCTGACCTCACCCATCTTTCCTGCCAAAAGGGAGGGGTGATTCACATACACTGAGCACCTCCTATGTGCCCCTACTATCACATCACTTATCTCATTAAATTCCCACATAGCCCTGGGAGGAAGGTGTTATGGTCCCATTTAACAGGTGGGGAAATGGAGGCCCAGTGGGTACAAAGATCAGCAGTTGAGTTCATGTCTTTTGATTGCAGTGAGGGATAGCGTCCCAGGCCATACCTCCTCCCGGCCAGGCTAGCTCCAAGCTAATGCCCTCTGATTTTAATGATGAATGAAAGATAGCTATTCAGTAATAATGGCTTGTCCAGGAGCTGCTCTGCTCTGGGAACTTCCCACACCTTCCTCATACCTACACCTACCTGGAGAAGATCCTATCAGGGCAGTTAAGGACTCATGACGTTACCCACTGGGTCAGGTGACATGGCTAGGACTTGGGGACTCTTGGGAGAAAGGATTGGAATCTGGGCCCAAAGGGCATCTACTCCCTGCCTGTCCCACTGCACTAGTCAGAGTTCTCCAGAGAAACAGAACCAACAGGATGTATATAGAGAGGAAAGGATCTATTATAAGGAATTGGCCCACATGGTTATGGAGGCTGACGGTCTTGAGATCTGCTGGGTGAGCCAGCGAGCTGGAGACCCAGGAGAGCAGTGATGTCATTCTCCTGTGTCCCAGCTGGAATTCAGGCAGACAGGGAGAATCCTCTTTTCCTCGGGGGATGGTCACTTCAGGCCTTCTCCTGATGAAGCGAGGCCCACCCACACTGGGGAGAGCAGTCTGCTTAGTCCATCTGTCAATTTAAATGTTAATCTCATCTGAAAATGCAGGCACACCCAGAATGTGTGGCCAGGGCCCTGGCCAGTTGACACATCAAAGTAGCCATCCCACCCAGCTCTCCCTCCTCTTGGTGCCTCCCCACCACTCACCTGCCCTGCATTGCCGACCTACTCAGTGCATCAGCTCAGAGTGCCCAAGAGGCAAGGATACTGTCCTGTCTCCTCCATGACCCCAGTGCGCTTTTCCGTAGAGAGAACCTTGGAACGGCAGAGCTGAAAAGACTCTTGGGGATCATGCAACCCAATCCCCTCATTTAACATGGAGTGGAAAAGCCCAGAGAGGCCCAGCCACTTGCCCAAGGTCTCACGGCAAAGAATGGCAGAGCCAGGGCTTACCCCCAGATCGCTGGACCAACCTCGCATGCCTGAGCTCCCAGCCAGTTCTCACCCACGCCCACCCCCATCTCCTTAGGCCAGTATCAGTCTCACACTGTCAAGGAAGCACGTGCAAAATAATCAGGCGCCTTCGTTGTTCCGTTTGGGTCAAACAGGAAAAGCAGAGGCCTTGGCCTTCTCTGTTGCTTCCTGCCACCCCGGAGGCAGAGGCCAGCCCTGACCTGGCCTCCATCTTCACTCAGTACAGCAGGTCAGAGCCCTCAGATCAGGGGTGTCCCACACAGGCCGTGCTGGTGTACCCTCTGGTGGTCTGTCCCACCTCCACCCCACCCCCAGAACTCATGCTGTGTTCACCCACTCTCTGCAGCCAGCTCAACACCCCTGCCCCAGCTCTGAGACCCCAGGGTGGAGCAGACCCACTAACCTAACCGCCTCCTCCGTAGCCCTCTAGTCCCCATCTGTGCTGGTGGTTTGCCCGGTCCCTGCGGGAAGAAGCAGCCGGAATTCTGGAAGCCCCAGCCTGGGCAGCAGACTCCGGCTCTGCCGCTCTCCAGCAGGTTGCCAGCTGACCTCAGGAGAGTCCCTGCCCGCTTTGCACCTTGGTCTCCTCATCTGTACAGTGAGGATAAAATAACCCGACCTCATGGGGCTCCTGGGGGCATTCAGTGACATAATGGTCGGGAGATAATGGACTCGAAGTTGTCTCACTAGTCAGGTGCCTGGTAGATGTGAGTTGAACCAGAAGCTTCCGCACGCTCAAACCCTTTTCTTCTGAGAAACAGGGCCCTGGGGAGACGGCCCTGCTTTCACTGTCAGCACCTCCCCGCTCACGCTGGCAGGGAAGGACGCGTCTCCTTGAGCGGAAGGGCTGGGTTCCGGGCAGGGCAAGGGGCTTCTGCCCGTCTCCTCTGCAGCACGGTTCACACCCGAGATCAGAGGTTGCGGGAGCGTGGGCACCCCTTGATTAGATCTGGTTCCAGCTGCTCCTGTCCCCTGAGCCAGTGAGGACGCAGGTTTCTCTCAGGAGCCCAGGGGTCCGGGCCAGGGAGTGGACGCTGAGACTCAGGTTCTGCCTGTCGCCGGGGGTGAGGTGCTGGGTCTCCCGGCAAGTGGAGCGTGCACCCCTGGGCTCCCGTGTCAGGGACGCCGTGGAGCTCAGAATTTGCCGGAGGGGGCCTGGCCCCTGGATATTCCTTCCCTCAGGTGTCGTCGGTCGGGCAGTGATTCTGCTGGGGTGCCGTGGCAGGGCGCACACCTCTAACTCTCTCTCTCCTGACAGCCTGACAGGTACGTCGGTCCCAGATCTCATTGTCAGCACCCACCACCAAATGTGGCTCCTCTTCCAGACCGATGGCAGCGGCAGCTCCCTGGGATTCAAGGCTTCTTACGAAGGTAACTACTCTTGGGGAGCCGGTGAACTCACCCTGGGGTCAGAACCCTGAGGTCCGGATTCAGAGTCAGCGAGCCCTGGGTTTGAACCCGGTTCTGCTCTGCACCTGCTTCCTCTCCTCAGGCCCGTTGGAGCTCTTGACCTCTCCGAGCCCCAGCCTCCTTCTTTGTCCAGTGGGTCTCCCTGCTTGTTTTGAGGACTGTCTGAGATAAACCACTTGTAATACTGCACACACAGCAGCAGGCACATACATGAGTCCCATCCCCAGTTCATACTGGGCTTGTGCAGACACTCAAAAGGCCCTGTGAGCTTGCTGAGCCTCAGCTGTTTTCTGTCTTTAGACTGGAGATGAGGCTTTCCAAGTTGCCCTGTTGGGGTGTCGCAGTGATGAGAGACTACGCACAGGGCCAGGGACAGACATGCACCATTGATGACCTGAGGGGGATGCAGATGAGGGTGAGCGTCATCTCTTGATGGAAACAGGCATCAAGGGAATGGCAGGCTCTGGGGCCCAAGGGATGCTACCACTTTCACCCTTCCACGCACTTCCTACTCCTATTGGCCAATGACTGCTCATGCCGACTCCCACAAAAAGGGGCGCAGAAGCCATCCCCCACATATTTGTGTAAGGCCCTGGAAGGGTCAGACCCCAGGTCAGCACTAAGGAACAGAGGCATCAATCAGCTTTAGGCCCTTGCTGCAAGGGGCGGCACTCTAGCAGGGAGACAGAGCAGAAACAAATGAGCCGGTGCAGTGAGGGAGACGCGGCAGACAGGGCCCTGGAGCACCAAGCAGGGCAGGCACTCCCCACGCCAGCCCCGAGGGCGGGGGTGCCCAGCAGGGAGGTCTGACCCTGCCTCCATCTCTTCCCTGTTCTCCTCCATTCCCTGTGGGCCTCCTTCTAAGAGAAGATTTGCACGTGAGCTCCAGTTGGAGAAGCACCACTTCGCCCCGCTCAGTGGTCACAGCTGTACAACAGCTGCTCTTTCACAGAGGACGCATTGGAGATAGAAGGGTGACATCACCCACCCAGGTCACACTGAAGTCTGGGACCTGACAGAGCCCAGGTTCGACCCCAGGCCTGTCTGGCTTCAAAGCCCGTGATTTCCCCACTCTGCTACGGAGAGCCTCCCACAGCGACAGCATTTCATTCTCTGTAAAAGCTTTATAGAAGTCAAAGCTTTGCCCCAGTCAGGTGGGCCATATATCATGGCTCCAGATTCCTTGTTACTAGAGGTTGGGGTTCTGTTCAGTGGTTCTCGTCCGCCTCGAGTGGCCAGTACTGATTAAGCTCCTGTGACGTGACCGGTGCTGTGCTGAGCGCTGGGGCTTTGAGAGTGAGTGGTATAGACACAGTCAGAAAATGCGTGCACTACGGCTGCTGGTCGCAGGCTAGGTGTCCATGGGACTGGCCCCCTGTCCCTGCCGTGACTGAGGGCCCATCTCCTTGGACCTGTGACAAATCAGGGAGGGTGCTGGGCGCTGAGAGACATCGCTCACCTGCCGGAGATACGCACACAGGCTCTGGGCACTCAGGCAGCAGGTTCCGTGAAGATGAAACGGACTCTGAAATTAAACCCTACCTGCTGACCCTCAGCTTGGCCCCTGCTGTAGGTCCTTGGGTGAGTCATACGGTGTCTCTGAGCTTCAGTTTCCCCACTCACAGAGTGGAGATGGCCATGACAACCTCATAGCACTGTTACGAAAGGAAATGAGATCCCAGAAAGCCCCCTGCACAGTGCCCAGCACCGAGGCACCTTCCCCTGGGAGCCGCTCAAGCTCCTCTGCACCCAAGCGCCCCACGATTGCTGCCGCTCTTCACCGGGCGGCCTCCTCTGCCCGGGAGCTCGTGGCTCCCCGCCAGTCCTCGATGGCCCTTGGTTGCTCTGACAGGCCCGGGCTCTGGGTCCCCGCCCCACATCTGCTCTCCCCACCTAGGGCCCTCGCCCCCCAGGCCGGCTGAGAAACAGGCTGGCTCCCTGTGGCCACAGTGTGGGGCGTGGAGGCAGAAGTGGCAGAAGGCAGATCCAAGTCATGGGGAGCCTGAGGCCTGACTGAGGGTCTGCACCTTGTCCAGTGGAAGAGGAACCTGTGAAGGACCAAACGTCAGAAAGGGCCGGCCTTTTCCTTCTTGTCCCGTCTACCATCGACCTTTTGTTTGAGGGATGAAGCCCGTCGGTCTCACACTTGCATGGCGAGGAGCCCCCTGCACTGTAAAAAGGGGGGCACGACTGTGCCGCCGGCAGCTTCTGCCTCTCCACTGCCCTGGCCGCGCCCTCCCAGCCCCTGCGTGGTTCCTCACTGGCCTTCAGGGCAGGCCCCTCTCCGTGTCTGTGCTCAGCCTTCTGTCCTCTTTTTCTAGAACCTTCCATAGTTGTTCACATCCACTCTCCTGGCTCCAACCTCAACGTGAAGCACTGATTACTTCCACATCGGCTCCCCACTTGCATTTCAGTCCACCTGCAACACATCGTGCATAGCTTCTCTTTCCTAACCCGTCTGTATCAGTCTGCTCATAACAAAGCACCGCAGGCTGAGTGGCTTAAACAGAAATTTATTTTCTCACAATTCCAGGCTAGGAGTCCAAGATCGAGGTTCTGGCTGATTGTTTTGGTCTGGGCCCTCTTTGTGGTTTGCAGGTGGCTGGCTGCCTTTTCACGGGGACTTTCCTCTGTGCGTGCACAGGGAAAGGGAGCAAGCTCTGTGTTTCTTCTTACAAAGACACTGATCCTGTGGGATCAGGGCCCCACCCTTTTGACCTCACTTAGCCTTGATTCCTTCCGTAGGGACCCCGTCTCCAAATACTGCTGCACTGGGGGCCAGGGCTTGAACAAAGTAATGGGGAGGACACAAACATTCAGTCCATAACACCATCCAAAACCAAGCTCTTCCTCTCCACCCCCCCACCCTCTGCCTGCGTGTCCCCATTGTGATGAACAGCACCACCATCCAAGCCTCACTCGGTCTCCTTTCCACCTCTTCCTTCTCCCCCTCCCACCTCTGACCCTGTCCCAGGTCTCTCAGTTCTCCCTCTGCAGCACCCAGCCCCCACCCCCCCCCACCCCGCCCCCAGTCCCTGCCGTGGCTGAGGGCCCTATCGCCTCGCATTTGAATGGCAGCACAGCCCCCCTCCCTGACCCCAGGCCTCCCCCAAACCCCCAGCCATCTGCCACACACAGCACAGCCGTCTCCCCAGAACCCAATCTGGCACAGTTTCCCCTTCTTAAAAAAACTCACGACAGCTTCGCATTGCTTTAGGGTGAAGTACAATCACTCATTTGGCATCCAGGGCTCTCCATGATGGTAAGTCCAAGCCAAATTCTGGTTTTTATGCACCCGTTCTAGGCAGAGCTCCAGTATATTAGCCTGTGTAGCCCCAAGGGCCTAGCCCAGTGCCTGGCACACGACGGGGCGCACTCAGAAAAGCTCGCAGAACGGAATCGCGATGGCGTTCTGCACAGGCTCACCGGGGCGCCCTTCCTCACACCCTTCCGACCCCCTTTCACCCACTTCACCATCTCCCAGATCAGGGGCCGCAAGTCCCCGCCTTCTCCACCGTCCCCTAGGCTTTGGGGTCAGAGAGAGCCACTGGCTGTGTGCGTCATCTTCAGCCAGTCTCCCCGCATTGCTGAGCCTGCGCTTTCTCATCTGTGAAGAGGGGCTGATAAACCTTCATGTCCCAGGGGCCTTACAAGGACTCAGTGTAGTGACCAGCTGGCAGAGGATCTGTCATTTGGCAAATTCCCAGTCAAAGGCCGGCTTCCCTCCCCTGCTTCCCTGGTCCTGCATCTCCTCTCCCACCTGCACCCATGCATGGCCCACGGCCTCAGAATTACCTCCGCCTCCTCTCGGCCCTCCTTTTATCCCAGCTTCTGGTGAATTCTGTACTGCATACACATCTTGGCTCAGGGAGGGGAGGGCAGCAGGGGTGCGGATGATCCACAGGTGGTGTGAAGCCACTGAGGGCAGAGGCCTGGCCCAGGCATACCTGGCCCCATCGCCATGAGTACGCCCTCTGCCCCAGTCCAGGCAGAGAGAGGCTTCCCTGAGGGCAGGCAGCCATCACTGCAACGTTACCCCCCACCTTGGGAGATTCATTTCCCCCAAACTCTTCCAGCTCTGCGTGTCACAGTCCCAGGATGGGCTGGGGGAGGGGACTCAGGCTCCATCAATGTCTAAGGACTCTAAGCCTAGAAACTCAGTCCCCCTTCATAGGGACAGCCAGCTGTAGGAAATGCATTCATAGTTGCAATTGCTTTGCTTCCCTGTAGAACAAGAAATATTTAAGGAACAGGCAATTAGCACTTACCAGAAACATTGTAAAATTACATACAACTTGCTAACAAGTTTTAGCATCAGTCTGGGAGTCTCCTTGCTTCCTGACTTGGAGCCTGGAATCTGGCAGTCTAGGGCCAGATCCAGGAGACTGGTGCAGGGGAGGAAGGAGCTGGGACCCTGACCCGGAGATAGGGAGGAGTGGGGGAGTAGAGGTCATGCAGAAAGGTGGCCCGAGAGTCCAGGGGACTCATGTTGGAAATGAGGTCCCCCAGGTACTGAATACTGTCCAAGCCCCTATTGTGTGTTGCAGAGTCTGTTCCGGACATAGGGGCCCAAAGACAACAAGACAGTCTGTGTCTTCACCTAAGTCATAGTCCATCCTCACCAGTGTTGAGGAAGTGTGAGAAGCTGGGAGGTACCAAGGAGGGGCAGCTCCTCTTACCTGAGGGCATCTGTGAGAACTTCCTGGAGGGGCTGGTGTCTGAAACAGAGGCTTGCTTGAAGGATGAAAAAGAGTCAGTCAGACGTCCCTGAGAAAGAGAACAGATTGGCTTAGAGAGCTGACATGTGCACAGCGTTGCAGCTAGAAGTTACGCAGACACAAAGTCTTAGAGCAAGGAGGGAGATGGTGGGCAAGACTAGCTGTCCACCAGCAGTGCCTCCATCCCCTCCTCTAGAACTTGGCTCTGCTGGGGGACTCAGGTGAGCCCCTGATGGACGGTGC